GAGAGAGAGAGAGAGAGTCAGAGATGGGCATTAAATTGGTTATCTCATAGAGAGATAAATGGAGGGCATAAATTAACGGCTTTAGAGAGAGAGAGTCATTTCATAAGTTGTTGAGGTCAATAATACATGGTCAAATGGGTTTAGGGGGTTGTAAGATAAAAAAGATGGAGGCTTTTTGCTTATAATTAATAATTTTAATTCTTAAGTCTTATGAGATATAGAAGTTAAAAATAGGAGAGAAGGGGATATTTTCCCTTTTATTTATTGGGTGTGGTTTCTATGAAGTTGCAAAAACAATCCAATTAAGGCGCCCCTCCAAATTTTATCATAACATGTAATTTTGGTGTAAAAAGTTTTTAGGATTATCTCAAAATTGATTTTTATATCTAATTATAAAATTTTAAACTCCAAAAATAGTTAAAATCAAGTAGATCTATAAACATATAAAAATCTTGAAAAAGGATGGTCTAGATATTGTGTTGCAAGATATACTATTTCTATGAAATTCTTATATATATAGTCATACATCTCGTTGTCGAGATGAATAATTAGATGGCTTTTCAACAATAAAACAATATTTTCCAATGGATTTTTAAGGTGCATCTGTAATTCTACATTTTAACGTTGCGACCTTATATAAACTTTTTTCTTATTTATTTTATATGATGAAAATGTATGCAAACAGTTGTATAATCATATTTACCAAAAAACGAAAAACAGTTAAATAATCATTGGAAAGTACATGTGATCCACCACATGCTATCCATTTCCATAGATCGCCGATTGTTTGGTGTTAGCATAGAAACTAAAAAATTTGGATTTTCAAGTCTTAAAATATAATGTATGGGATCATCAATTTCAAATCTTCATAGAACCATTAGATCCACATGATTTATGAAGTCTCAAATTTCATATGGGTTGAACATTGATTTTAAGGCTGTCATAAGGGTTTTAAGTCTTGAAACTGTTGGGCTCAAACTGTTCCAGCCCTCTTGCAAGAATGAGGATGTGTGCAATGGAGCCTTACCATTTGGGGTAAAATATTAAGCACTTTGTATGTATGTACGTGTGTGTTTATTTGTGTGTGTAAAATGAGAAAATAAGAAGCAATTAAAGCAAAAATTATGAATACACAAGATTTTATATGATTCACCCTTTTGGGCTACATCTTGGGGATAGAGCTAGACAATCCATTAAAAGTAATAGGGTTACATGGATTTGATGGAATAAACTATTTCATCCAAAATGCAATCTCTCTCTAGACAATCCATGAAAAGTAATAGGGTTACAAGGATTTCATGGAAGAAACTATTTCATCCAAGATGCGATCTCTATCTCTCTCTCATTTCTTATTTCAAGAGTTTCCTTCTCTTGGATTACAAATCTCCCACACTTTCTACAAGGGCTCTATGAGCTCTCTTCGGATTTTTCTCTAGAGGTTCTCTCTCTTGGGTTATCTCTTTCCAAAATGCACTCTTTCCTCTCTCTAGAGTACCTAAAAATACGACCTATAACACATATTTGTATGAGTTGGTTAGGGTCATGTTTAACCCTTTCCACTTCTATTGTTTCTGATGACAAGGGATCCCATCTTCTTGAAAATCACACCAAGTCCTTCTTATTTGTATAAAATGATATTGGGGTCGCTCTTCCTCATGGGATGGTGTTTGTAGGGCGAATTTGAGAGAATTTCAAACTGAAATCCCCTGACCTATAGCTATAAAATTAGTTGAGTAAATTTTTGATAGAGATGTCGTGGGAATGGTCAAATTATGATTTAAAGACTAATTAACCTCGAAAAGCCAATTTTTCTTCATAACCTTTTCGTCCAAAAAACAGAAATCTACTGCGAAATTAAGTCTACCTAAAATAATCAAAATAACCAAAATTAACTAATAAAAGGAAAAAAAAAAGTTTACTTGCCCAAGTCGGTTGGTCTGGGGAGCCCGAAGTTGGTGGTGCCACCTGTATCAGGACCAGATGTTATTTATGCCTCTTTGCCTTCACTTTTTCTCTTTAAAATTGTTGATTTTCCCCACTGAGATCTGCAAAAAATATTGGTTAGGGATATTTGAGAGACATTAAAATTGAATATAGGGTTTTGTAGCTTAGATCTAGGGTCATGACTTTTAGGATCTAAGCTTTGAAGGCTAAATTTCTAAGCAGGTTAAGAGGATCTATGCTTTTATTCTTAGGATTTGGTTTAGAAAATTAAAGTTCTAGGTATCTTGAGGGTTAAGCTTCTTAATTCTAGGTTTTCTCTGGAAATTAGGTCTAGATCTAAGGTTATGCGTTGGTCCCTTGAATGACGAAAAATAGCACCCTCATATATGCTTAAAAAGTCAGCTCTAAGTAGGTTGGAAATGATTACTACTGAAATTC